TCTGAGCACTCTGGGATGTGGAATTCAAACAGAAACCACAATTAATACGGCTGCGCCCTGTAAGTTGAAGGGTCAACACATATGCAACTGCAAGGTACTTGTCTGCTTCACCAAACCATAACAGTAAAGCAATTGTGATGGGCCAGGAACAAATTCATGATTTGGAACAGCTTTCAAGCAAAAGGCTGGCACTATGCATTATACTTCAAGCAACATCTTGATAGCCATAATTTCATTGAAATAAGCTCAACTGAAAGCAAATTTCACATACAAATTTTCCAATCATTTCGAAAAAAAATTGCTGCCTCTATTGAAAACAACAGTGCTTGAAATAAATGCAAATTGAAATACAATTTACAAATAATTATTATTATTAACCTTCACCCATTTCGCCTTACCTTTCTGAAGTTATTCTGATGATCTTTGTTGCATGGGGTGTGAAAGCTGTGAATTGTTGTTGCCTTCGATCTTCCAGGGTGGTCGGTAGTAAGAATGCTAGCGTAGGCGTTAAATTAAAAAAATAAATATCGACATTTGCTCGTATCCTCAGTGTACTTCACCAAGCCAGTAACTGTATCATGTGCGCCAAAATAATAAAGCACACCAAGGATGGCAGTATTCATGTCTAAAAGCCATCAACGACATACATACATTTTATGACGTAATAGTTAATCTTGATTTATTTGTGTATTTTGCAGTTTTGCGGCACAGATGGAGGCAGTCAAAATTCGAAAATGGCCAGATGGGTACTACACTGATCTGATCGTTCTCTTCAGAACACAACCGGGATTGGGAGTATGACAGACAGTGCCTACCCTGGACAGTGCCGCTTCAGACATTTCCTAGATCGCATTGAACTGGACCAATGAACGCTCTCCTCGGTTGCTGGCTGCTGCCAATGATGTTGATTGATGTTTTATGTCTTTCGAATGGCCACGTACTTCCCCATTCGTACGCGTTCACAGAGCGTCAAACTACAATTGAGCAAACTTACTCCTAAAATATATTTACTGGACGAAAAACGGGCATACAATGCATAAGCCACATGCTTAGCGATTGCTGCAACCACCGCCGGGCCGCCAACTGACCCCTTATGCGACTCTTACAGCAATGATACAACCGATACGACGGCATCGTCACCGTCCCAGCGTCATCACACGGCCATCCCACAACCCTCTGACATTTTCGGTTCCCGGCGGCCACCCGACCGGACAATGGCACGTCTACGATGAGGCATCAGCAGGATAGCTGCACAATTATGTCAAAACGCACACCTCGCCGTGAAACTGCCCACGAGATACAGTTCTTCGGCGCGAGAGGCAGCCAAGATCACAGAGCGCGCAGCCACGGTACGGTCAGGTGAAGGTGCACCCTCAGCATCACACACGTGCAGTATGTACAGCCAAATCCAGTACAAAGTACTCTGGCGATCCATTCGTAGCAAGGCTGACGGAATCGCTCACCGGCTAAGTACCTACCACAAACATCCACCAATCTAGGCACACACGCAGAAAACACGCGATATACCGTCCGTCCCCTCAGTCTAGAGGCATGTGAGTTCAAAATCTGTCTAGCAGAGGGATGTAGAGACATCAGGGCAGCCGATTGAAAGATTGACAGATGTCAAGACTGCCCATTCCGCGTATTATGCCGAATGCCGATCTATCGGCATAATACTATACCCAGCCCCGAAAATTGCTAAATGAGATGGTGCGAACGGCTCGGGTTTGTCTCTCCGTCTTTAAGGTCGTTTCGGATGTGAGGCTGCTTAAAATGGGACACTCTGAAGAAAAGACAGTAGAAACAGACATGATGCCTATAAAGATACCACAAACAAACATGCTCCCTTAAAGATGTACGTACATGAATGGTAATATGGATAAATGGACATTAGGCATGCATAAATAATGACTGTAATTATGCTAAATGGCATTCTAGACCGATTCCTTCATGGGCTGTCACCATTACTGACAAACTCAGCGTGTCTTCACGATATGAAGCCGTCATCTGGGATCAGCGTTCACCAGGGATGACAGCTGCCTGCCTCGTTGTCAGACAGGGTGACAAAAGGTCAGAAGAGTCATTGTGTCACCAATGACACACTCTCAACACTGCCGACGGTCCAGTGGAGACGGATAGTACAGTGGCCAGAGCCTGTCTCGAAAGAGTGGTGTAGATGACCTGTCGACAAGAAAAAAGAGGACATGTGTAAGCACCTCATCACACTGAGTTAACATGCCGATGCTCAACAGTGAAAGCACAAATAGTTTTTAATTGCTAAATGGTAACACTAATTTTCATCCGGCTCCGGATACAAAGCTGGGGTGTAAGGGATGTTTACCATCAAACCCACGACCAGCCGAACCCACCACCCACGTCTTCCCCCGCGGCTCTCACCCCTGTTCAGCAGCAGCCTCCCTTGCCGTCCGCCACCGGGGTGCTCTGGATGTTGACGCGCGCGCCGCCGCCCGCCTGCTCGGTGGTCGCCTGCGGTCCCACGCGGCTCTTGATCTCGGCGGCCATGGTCATAAAGGCTTGCTCCACGTTGGTGGACGACTTGGCCGAGGTCTCCAGGAAAGGAATACCCAGCTGGTCGGCGTACGCCTGTCGGGCGGCACGGTAACGGGAAAAGGGTTAGTCTTGGTATGTAACAACCTGGTCCGAGACACCCACTCCATGGTAACGACAGGTACTTACGGTAAAAGTTACCTGAGGTACCTTACGGCAATTATTCACGCCGACGTATTCATGAGCTCAACAGCCTCAAGCACGATAAAGTCACAAATATTTACAACGGCACAGCTGTTATTCACGATAACGCAACAGTCATTCGCGATAATCCCATGTAGTCATCCACTGTAATCGGATAATCGTCAGATTCAATCACGTTTTACGGTAAGGGTATATTCGTTCACATTCACCGCACAGTCGTCGGTATAACATGTCGCCAATAATGCCAGTTGTCACCGCATCATTCTTCAATCTTCACGTCAGCCATCTCCAAAATCCATCCAAACTATTTTTCTCACCTTGGCCGTGGCAAAGTCGACGACTTTGCTGCTGGCGAGGTCGCACTTGTTGCCGACCAGCAGCTTGTTGACGTTCTCGGCGGCGTAGCGGTCGATCTCCTGCAGCCACTGCTTGACGTTGCCAAAGCTCTCCTGGTCGGTGCAGTCGTAGACGACGATGATGCCGTGCGCGCCGCGGTAGTAGGCCGCCGTGATGGTGCGGAACCGCTCCTGGCCTGCTGTGTCCCAGATCTGCAGCTTGATCGTCTTGCCGTCCAGCTCGATCGTGCGGATTTTCTATCAATAATGAGAAGTGTGAGACGAGTGACGAAAACCAGTGAAAGTTGATTTCTTTATGAAAACCGTGTAAACTTTGTTCTATTTCCATATCATGTATCTTTTAGTACCTCTTTTGGATGTAACCCCCAGACAACCACACATTTCACTAGGAGGATTTTGATACCCGTCATGTACAGCTATCAGAAGTTGTTGCATTACATTCATACACAGCAGTTAGTGAGTACTTACAAAATCGACACCAATTGTGCTGATGTAGCTCTCCGTGTAGGTGTCGTCCTGAAATGGAGGTGGCGGAAGCTCAATGATAGTGAGCACTTCCTGACAAATGAATTGTGTATTGGAGCCTAACCTTCAAGCATGACAACCTGCAAAACATAAAATGAAAACTTGTGCAGAATAGCATTTATAGTAAAAATTATGACTTACAGCAAATCTCAGAAGAAGACATGACTTTCCGACTCCAGAATCTCCAATCAGCAGCAGCTTGAACAGAAAGTCACTGAAATAAGGGCAGAAGCCAGAAGTTAGTTCCTAATTATTTCCCAATTTTTCTTGCAGTATGCCAAAAGGAAATTTCTAGATCAAGATGGGTCATACCCCATACACCAAGGGTAAATTGGTATATGTCAAGTTTAGGTCCTAACTACAATTGTGGCGCTTTTGATACGAATATGAAACAGCAAAAATTTTAGGTTTTAGGTTAGGTTAGGTTGTAGGTTTGTAGGTTTTAGGTTGTAGGTAGGTAGGTTTGTAGGTTAGGTTAGGTTAGGGTAGGTTTGTAGGTTGTAGGTTGGTAGGTTATAGGTAAGTAGGTAAGGTTAGGTCAGGTTTGATTATGTTTTTTTCTTTTATTTGCGAGACATATGAGTATCATTTTTGGATTCAGGATGTCAAATAATGTATAAATATGAAAAATTTATCAATGAACTCTTCTTAGGAGTTAAACTTGACATTTACCGGGTAAATTTCCCCAAAACTTGTGTGGTCTTACGTTTGTTTATAATGCAAGAAACACACTTCTAGAAGGTACCAATCAAATTACTCCATAAATTAGAGCGGCAAACAAACATAACCTAATGAGCCAATAGCTTACTATTCAGGATTCATGGTGGGAAGGCGGTCCAAAATTTGCCGTCACAACTCAGATTGCAATCAACTGAACTCGATGTTGATAGCAGTATTTTAGGCGTTCAGCCTGAGTTTTACAACTTGAACTGCGACAGAAATCCACTGTTTCCCAAGACTGCCAATTAGCACCAAACACGTTAAGCACTTGCGCCTTGCGATCTGATCTGAAGTACTGACAACTGACGCGAAATTTCCTAAATTATCACGCGATCTTGCAACGGAGAATCGTCGGTGATGATGTGACCAATGAAACGTCACTGGTGATGTTGTGGAAGCAATCATAAAGGATTCCTTTCACTCTGAATAAAGCCATGTCAGTTATTTGCTGTGATTTTTCTTTCAAAAAACAAAACAGTTATTTTTTAGGTTTAATTCATGAATATATAAGAATATTTGTAAAATATAAAAACACGAAATGAAACATTGAATTACAGAAAATTGTTGAAATGTTTTTTGATGCTACCATATTTTGCTATTTTGCCAAATTCTCCCTATCAAATTGAAGGAAATGAATGATGCAGAAATGGCGCAAATAGGACGATTGTTTGCTCACTGATATTTGTGCTTGTTGCAGTGCATCATACATATTGTAGAGCATTTTGAAGTAATTTGCTGATATACAATGCTTTTAGAGGTCTTCGTAGTAAACCGTAAAGGTCATATTGTATTCAAAGAATCAGGTAAAGTAAATTGATAGGGTTCCTATGTTATAATTTGTGTTTCCTAATCATGTTCAGAAAAATGTATTATTATTTAAGGTCGATTTGCAAAGTACCTATGCAATGCTAATCAGACTTATGATTTTCTCATGAATTTATGATGTTATGATGCTATCTTAGAAATGCTTGCCATGTGCATGGATAAATCTGTTTATCACTTCAATGCTAATGCCTGCTGCCTGCGTGGACATAAGCCAATTAGGTACAGATTTTGGGCCTGTATTGTGTATATATACACAATAAGGAATGTATTAGCTAAGAAACATTATTTTCACTAAATGGGATAATCAAACAAGCTCATTTTCAGGAATTTACAATAAAGATGTGAATACTCAACACTACAGGCAATTTCACAACATTATCTGCAGTAGTACAGATGCACTTCCCTATGTAAGTACCTGTAGCCCCTGCATGTACCGCCGGTCACCGCTAGGCGCGTTTACTTCCGCCGGTCACCGCTAGATGCTGTGAACCGCTAGTTACAGTTTTGTTAATAGGTGTCGCTTTTACCAGTCTCTAAATTGCTAAAGCCTTTGATTAAGTTGTGCGCCCCCCTTTTTAACGTTCCGTTCGCTTAAACTGCTGTATTGTTTGGACAATTGTATTGGCAATGTGTATATTGAAAACCATATGTATTCGTTTATTACATTCGATGTTCTCGCCACATGTGTGCAATACTAGATAACTAAGTTCGTATGTAAAACTATATATGTCTCGATTTTGTGGCGAAATACAAGAGATATCTGTATGTTACAGTGTTTCTACTGGCTACACCAGCCAGATTGGTGACCCCGCGTTCTACGCACCATGGGATCGCTATCCCCTCGTGTTCCCAGTCACACCGACACTGGCCTGCACCCTGAGCTATCTCCTCCAGCTCTCTTTGTGTAGGAAGGAAGTGGCGGATGGTGTGTCTCCACGAGGATCCTACTTTTGTGCTGAGTGGAACTGGATAACGCCGACTACTACTGCTGCACTACGGACCAGCTACTTCATCGGCTCACCTCACCGTCCGGCTACCTCTGCAGCTGCACCGCAGCACCTGCCGATCGCCGTATCGCCGTCGCCGCCACCGATCTTCCCGACCATTGCTCTCGGCAGCCATGGACCAGAAGACCCAGCCTGCCGGCGCCGGTGCAGCCGCCGGCACCGGTGCAGCCGCCGGCGCCGGTGCAGCCGCCGCCGCCGCCTCGCATGCCGCTGCTGCTGCTGCTGCCGCTGCCGCCCAACCGGACTACCTCCGCGTGGCGACCGCGCCACGCAGCCACGTCGCGCCGCCGCGCTTCTTCGAGGAGGACCCCGTGATCTGGCTCGTCCAGCTCGACCTCTTCTTCTCTCAGGCAGCTGTGGACGATGAGCTCAGCCGCTTCCGGATCGCCGCTACTCTCCTTCCTGGCCACCTCCTGCGCGACTTCACCGACATCCTCCGCAACCCTCCTCTCGACCGACCTTACACCATCCTTTCCGACGCCATCCGTCAGCGGTTCGGCAAATCAGTCGAACAGCGTCTTCGCTGCCTGCTCTCTGGCCAACAACTCGGCGACAGGCGTCCTTCCCAATTCCTTCGGCATCTCCTGGACCTTGCTGAAGCTGAAAGCTCACAAGATTCCCCGCTCATCCGCCAGATCTTCCTCAATGCACTTCCGCCTCGGACTCAGCCCTTCCTCCAGTGCCTGCCGCCTGGGACGGACCTTGCGACCATCGCTAGCACTGCCGACCGACTCCTGGAGCTTCCGCAGCAGTCGGACGTCGCTGCACCTACCTCAGGCCTTCTCGCCGCGGTATCGACTTCTGCGCCTGCTGCAGCCTCACCTGCTGCTCCTGCAGGACCCTTCCACCTCCAAGACCTGATGAGCCAGCTGCTGACTGGTATCACGGCCCTCACAACATCAGTCGCCACCCTGGTGGACGAGACGCGCCGCCGAGAGAGGTCTGCATCCCGTGCCCCCGGCCGCGCTCGCCACCGTCCACCACGCGACCTGTCTGCTGCTGCCCGGTCACCCAGCCCTGCAACCAACACGTCTACCGGCGCTGGTGCTTCCTTCTGCTGGTACCACCACAAGTTCGGTACCAACGCGCGCTCATGTCAGTCACCGTGCTCGTGGTCTGCAACCGCAACTCAGACCTCGGGAAACCAGCAGTAGGACAGGTGACACAGACGTCTGCACCTGCCCTGCTCAACCCTGACGTCCCTCCAGCCAGCGGCCTTCTGAGACTCAAGGACAACAACACTGGCATCACCTTCCTCATCGACACTGGAGCTGAGTACAGTGTTCTTCCAGCGACACCCACCGATCGTGCTCGCGGAACCAACGGACTGGATCTGCAAGCAGCCAACAACAGCAGCATCCAGACCTATGGTCAGCGCATGCTCACGCTTTCTCTCGGCCTCAGAAGAGATTTCAACTGGATCTTCATCATCGCGGACGTCTCTCATCCTCTCCTAGGAGCCGACTTCCTCTCCTCGTATGATCTCCTCGTCGACACCAAGAGAGGCCGTCTCATCGACCACCTAACTGAGTTGTCTTCACCTGCTTCCCACTCCTCAGTGCCATCCACCGGACTGACAGCCGTCGTCGGAACCGACAACCCAGCATTCCTTACCCTCCTTCGAGAATTCCCCAGCCTCACCCAGCCGTCACATCATCCGGAGCCACAGCACTCAGTCCGACATCACATCGAGACTACCGGCCCTCCGGTCTTCTGCCGCCCACGCCGTCTGGATCCAGCTCGACTCGCCACTGCCAAGGCAGAGTTCCAGCGCCTTCTCAGTCTCGGAGTCATCCGACCCAGCAGCAGTCGGTATGCATCACCGCTGCACATGGTGCCCAAGTCGTCTGGAGATTGGAGACCCTGTGGTGATTACCGTGCACTTAACCGCATCACAGTGCCTGACCGGTACCCACTACCACATCTCCACGACTTCACTGCCTGCCTCGCTGGGACATCGATCTACTCTCGGCTCGACCTCGTCAGGGCCTTCAACCAGATACCGATGGCCCCAGAAGACATCGCCAAGACAGCGATCACAACGCCCTTCGGCGCCTTCGAGTTCCTCCGTATGCCGTACGGTCTCCGGAACTGCGCTCAGACCTTCCAAAGGTTCATGGATCACATCCTCCGTGGCCTGGACTTCGCCTTCGTCTATGTAGACGACATCCTCATCGCCAGCAGCAGCATCTCGGAACATCTCACACACCTCCGAGAGGTCTTCAGCCGTCTTTCCCGCAACGGTGTGCTCCTCAACCCATCGAAGTGCGCCTTCGGCATGGAAAGCATCTCCTACCTCGGCCACCAGATCTCCAGCGGAGGCATCACTCCTCTCGACGATCGAGTCAGTGCGATCAAGAACTTCGACCGTCCAGAGTCAAAGAAGAGCCTCAAGAAGTTCCTGGGGATGATCAACTTCTATCACCGCTTCATCCCACACGCTGCTGCTCTTCTGGCACCTCTCCACGGCCTGACTGCCTCAGACGACCGAGCTGCTTCAGTCACGTGGACCCCAGAGGCAGACGCCGCCTTCTCTGCAGCCAAAGCCGCCCTCGCTGACGTCACCCAGCTCGCTCATCCCGTCAAAGATGCAGCTCTGAGCCTCAGCACTGACGCCAGCAGCACGGCAGCCGGCGCCGTGCTCCACCAGCGAGTTGGTGGTTCTCTTCAGCCTCTCGCCTTCTTCTCGCGCAAGTTCACGCCCACCCAACGCCGCTACAGCACCTTTGGACGGGAATTGCTCGCCATGTACCTCGCCGTGCGACATTTCCTGCCCTATCTGGAAGGATGTGACTTCGAGATCCTCACGGACCACAAGCCGCTCGTCTTTGCTCTCAAGGCCAACGGCAACGCCAACCATTCTCTCCGTGAACAACGTCACATGGACCTGATTCTGCAGCACACCAGCAAGATCGGACATGTTCCTGGACACCTCAACCCGGTAGCTGACGCCATCTCACGGATCAGCTCAGTGTCTGCGCCGGCTTCTGCCGCAGCTACACCTTCACCCGGCCTGCTGAGCTTGGCCGACATCGCCCTACACCAAGCCAACGATCCTGACCTGCCGAAGCTGCAACAATCCTCATCTCTGATCATCCGTGACTTCCCAGTCCCTGATCATCCGCATCTACGTCTCTGGTGCGACACCTCAACGGCCACACCTAGACCTGTAGTCCCAGCCAGACTCCGCCCTTCCATCATCAAGAGCTTCCACGACTTGTCTCATCCTGGCATCAACGCTACGCGTCATCTCATCTCATCGAGGTTCATCTGGCCCCACATCAACGCGGACATCCGTGCCTTCGTCCGGAGCTGCCAGCACTGTCAGCGTGCCAAGATCCAGCGCCACACGAAGCCACCCATGGGCAGCTTCCAGCCACCTGACTCTCGCTTCCTGCACATCCACATCGACCTTGTCGGACCACTTCCTCCGTCCCATGGCAACTCCTATCTCCTGACTGTCGTCGACCGCTTCACCCGATGGCCCGAGGCAATTCCTCTGCCCACCATGGACGCCGTCACGGTGGCTCGGCATCTCGTCAGCGGCTGGATCGCCCGCTTCGGAGTACCCGAACTCATCACCACCGACAGAGGATCCCAGTTCGAGTCCCGCCTCTGGACAGAAGTCTCCAAGCTTCTCGGCACCTCTCGGATCCGGACCTGCGCCTACCACCCAGAAGCAAACGGGATGGTAGAGCGCTTCCACCGCCAACTGAAGTCAGCTCTGCGGACCGATGACGACGCCGCCTCCTGGTCGGACCGACTTCCTCTGGTGCTACTCGGAGTGCGCACGGCCCTCAAGGAGGATCTCGGATGCACCGCTGCAGACCTAGTCTATGGTTGCAGTCTCCGACTTCCTGGTGACTTCCTCTCCCCCATGTCGTCGGACACTTCTTCTGATCCCGCTTCCCTAGCCTCTCGTCTCCGTGCCGCCATGTCGGAGCTCCGTCCAACTCCTCCTCGTCCTGGCTCCCGCCAAATCTTCATCTCTCAAGACATGCAAACCTGCTCCCACGTCTTCATCCGACGCGATTCGCATCGCTCTCCTTTCCAATACGTCTATGACGGTCCTTATCGTGTCCTATCCCGCGACCAACACACCGTCACCATCGACCGTCTCGGGCGACGTGACACCGTCACCCTGGCTCGGTGTAAACCGGCCTTCACGGACAACATGCCTGCCGCAACGCCGCCTGCAGCACCGGACGTCCTGGTGAACGACACGCCTACTACAGCGACAGACAGCTCGGTGGACCGCCCGCCTGCTGCATCGCCTGCACCCAGCCGGTCAGGTGCCCCCGGCGGCTCTCGCCCGGCTCGCCGCGTGCCGCCGGACCCGCCGCCTGCTTCGCCGCCCCCTCTCCGCCGTTCGTCGCGTACTCGCCGCCAAACTTCTTTTTATGGTGTTTAACTAGGGCGGGGGAGTGATGTAGCCCCTGCATGTACCGCCGGTCACCGCTAGGCGCGTTTACTTCCGCCGGTCACCGCTAGATGCTGTGAACCGCTAGTTACAGTTTTGTTAATAGGTGTCGCTTTTACCAGTCTCTAAATTGCTAAAGCCTTTGATTAAGTTGTGCGCCCCCCTTTTTAACGTTCCGTTCGCTTAAACTGCTGTATTGTTTGGACAATTGTATTGGCAATGTGTATATTGAAAACCATATGTATTCGTTTATTACATTCGATGTTCTCGCCACATGTGTGCAATACTAGATAACTAAGTTCGTATGTAAAACTATATATGTCTCGATTTTGTGGCGAAATACAAGAGATATCTGTATGTTACAGTGTTTCTACTGGCTACACCAGCCAGATACCTACCTACCTTTTTCAGGTGATTTTTAGCTGACCTGTGTAAATTAATTGTGAATTTGCTAGTTGCTCTGATTTGTTGTGAATTTTGCTCGTCAGTATTGTAATTTGCACAGTATAAATAATAAATAGTAATTTGGAGTTCAATTTCCTAAGCATTTTTAAAGGGACACTCCCACCTTAACATTAGTTTTGAGTTGAGATAGCCAAATTGGTGGCCATGGCCTGCAAGTACCGGTTTGGGCACTCACAACATCGACAAATGCTTTAATTCGGAGATATGGAATTTCAAACTTGCAGTTTTCGGATTCTAAGGGGCTAGTGCATTGGTATGCCCCCTTAGAATTTGTGACGTCAGCGGAGATCTAACGATTTTTAAATCTTTTACTAAAACGTTTGGTAGCACGCGGTGGTATATGCTGCTTTGCGCGCAACAAATGCCGCACTTTCAAATAAAGTCGCTAGGAACAGCGGAGATCCCAAAAAGTAAACAAAAGTAAAAGTCTAATATCTTGAAAACCGGTGAATATTTTTCGATGAAATTTGGTAGATATTCGTTTTCGCTCTTTCTGAACCGAGCGACATCACTTTCGTGCCAATTCATTAACTTTTTTGAAGGTGGGAGGGTCCCTTTAATGCAACACATAATCAACTTATCTCACATCTCTCAAGTAGGTACCCAGTTTTAACAATTTCCTCTTTTGCCACCTTCCCATCGCAGTTCCAGCATGGATCCACCCACTTCTACCACGTGCAGAGTGACGGTCTGCGGTGGGGCGCGGCGGCCGGCCGGCGCCTGGCGCCGCTGCAGGTCCTCTGCTGGCTGACGGCGTTCAGAGACGTGGTGGCCGCCATTTGCGGGGCGGCCTCCGAGTCGGCACTGCGAGCCAACCATCTGACGCTGCGACAACTGGCCACGGAGATCGTGGTGAGATGGGGTGTTGTGGTTGTTATGCAGGGTTAACGCAGGAGAGATTGCGGTGGGGTACTATAGCAGTGTTCTGATCGATTGCTATAACAGGCAACGTAAAGTGAACAATTTGCTTGTTGTGACATTTTAACGTCGCTACCTTTATTCCACTCGTGTTAATAGGGAGTAGCGAGGTCGTGATTGTGTTCGGTCGTTCTGCTTGAGCGCACCATGGCTTACCGCTGTCCCTCCCCAACCCTCCCATCCCTCCGCCTCCCTCCCCAGGAGGACGGCCAGATGATGGCACTGGACGCCGGCCGGCTGCGCTCGCTCCTCCTCAGCCGGCCCTGCGTGGCCGCCCCCGCCCAGCTCAGCTCACCCGCCGCCCCCGCCCCCACCCCCGCCCCGGGCGGCGAGGCGCAGCAGCACGTCTACGTGGATGTCGTCGAGTCGGTCGGTAGGTATTCGGGGTCGGAACTGAGGCTGCAGAGGTTCTGCTTGAGTGAGGTAGGGCTGTGAGGGCTAAAAGGTCCATTGAAACGCTTTATAGGGATCGCTACATCGGGCTTATGATAAAACGATTTTATTTTGTACACTAAATCTTAAGGGAAACGTGAAAGGAACGTCACGTGAGTTTGAGGACCTGCTGTACGTTTCAGACTGTGATGACATCAGACAGCGAGGTGCAGCAGTATGACGTCATCTCCGGCTGTACCTTTCAGACTGTGTGATGACGTCAGACGGCGAGGTGCAGCAGTGTGAGGTCACCGGTCGGCTCGAGGTTCGCACGGAGGGCACTGCCTGCTCGCGGGTGGACGTCTCCCTGGCAGAGGATGTCCGACTTTTGGAGCCGGACGCAGCTGGTAAGGGATCTGCGATATCAGGCTCCGGAAAACGAATGCATTGGCGCACAACGATACGGGACCATATGGCAAAATTTGCGTGTTTCATAAAATCGTTCTTTAAAGACGATTTTAATATTGGTTAATGCAGGGTTCGACAAGGAGCACAATTTCACAAAAATTGAAGGAAGAAGCCTCAATCATTCATGGCTAGCACACGTAGTACGTACCCAGACTATGTATTGTCAAATAGGCATCGTTACCCTCGAATATATCTCCTAAAGCAATTTTTGAGCATGTCGATCGTATTTGACCACGCCCTTCTCCCCAGCAGTACTAACCTTCCCTCCCCCCCCCCCAGCGGAGGCGCACCTGGGTCCTCAGGTGCACGTCTCCCGCCTGCACCCGGCCGGCTCTCGGCAGTCGCGCTGGCTGAGCGGCCCGCCGGGCCGGCTGACCCTCCTCGAGTACCGGAGTGCCGCCGGACTCTCCGGCCCTCCCATCCCCATCTCCGTCCGCGCCACGGCGCTCCGCCTGCCCGGCTCGACAGACATCGAGGTGACGCTGCGTGTGAGACTCCTGGCGGCGGCCGAGCTCCGCGCGCCGTCTGTAGGCGTTCAGTTCCGTCCGCCGGCGGGCACCAGCGCCGTCAGCGCCACCTGTGCCGGGCCCGGCGGCGGAGCGGTGAAGTTTGACCGCCAGGCGGCGCTGGTGACGTGGACCGTACGGGAGATGGCCGGGCAGCAGGAGGCCAGCGCGGTGCTCAGGGTGAGTCGGAGGGGAGGGGTCGGTCAGAGGAAAGGGTTCATCACAGAGGAGGGACTGAGCCGGTTTAACACTGGTAAAACGACAGAAGGCTGTTTTGAAAGTTGAAACTCCCTTAGTTCTTTTCTTTTCCCTGTGTGTTTCGCGTATGATAGGATCTGAAGGCGTCATATACAAAACGGCAATGACAACTTTGAGCGTGAATATCCATCAATCAATCAATCGCTATATTTTTCGCATTGTCTGTTTCCATTCACCATCACCAGCACCAATCTTCGTGCGCTCGGCCCAGCTCCATATCTGACAACCTGACCCCATGGCCGTCTCTCCCTCCACTAACCCCACCCTCCCCTCTTTTCCCTCAGCTGGCGGAGGCGGACGTGTCCGGCCCTCTGGACTCTGTCGGACCGTTCCAGCTCAGCTGGGAGATCTCCGACCTAACCGTCACCGGCCTGCGGGTGTCCGGGGTGCAACTGGCAGGGGTGCCCGACGGCTGCACCCGCCGCTGGGTGCGCCATGCCGCCGTCTCGGCTACCCACACGGTCCAGCCGGCGGCGCTGGCCGCGGCCGGGAGCGATAGGTGATTGGGGGACGGCAGAGGTGAATACTGGGGGTATACTCGTACGGGGACCCGCAGTTGCTACTGTACAGCGACCCTGAGTAAATTGTCCCAGCACCCTCACAGGAAACAACGATAAACTGTCAGAGGGCACTCACAGGAAACCTCAGCTGCTCTTGTACATACAGGGACCGGCAGTCGATATCAATGTCATCGATTGTTACTGGACAAGACAGACGGCTGGAGTTGGGGTTCGAAAACAGAAGCAACTGCGGGTCCCCGTACCTACGACCTGTACCTGTGTTATAAATGATGTATAGATGAGAAGAAGGAAAGTGAACTACAAATGGAATGTATTTACTTCTTGATCGTTCCCAGTACCTTATAAATGCATGAGCGGGAGTCTGTGTGTTGTAACTTGTAAATTTGTGGAGGGAGAATTATCGTGAAATTGTTAAAATTTCTATCAGCATTTTACGAGTTTCCCATTAAACTGTACAACTATGCTAAGAAGCGCAGTATTCCCATCCGGCTTCAGTTTGTAGTTGAATGCAGTGCTTTATCGTCTTACTTGCGTTGTGAAATGTGAATCGATGTATCCGTGGGCTGTTATGTCGCCTGTGGAAAGTCGGGACGTTATTTTGCGCCTCTGCCCTTGCTCGTTATTTTGCCCTTTTCTATCACCGGGTCGCCACTGCCGTGTTGTAAGACCCGACTTGGCAGTGAAGCCGCCGTCCCCGGCGCGGCCGGGGCCACTTGTCTGTAGTGGGGGGGGGGGGGGCACCTCCGCCGACCCAGACAGGTCGGACGAAATTGCCCACTAATTATGATGGATAGGGCGGTTATTTGGGCGTACGAGACCCGATTGCATGACTGTATGATGTTCATTAAGGCCAAGTTGCTTGGATAAAGCGGCGGTAGGCTGTTCGTGTCGTACAAATAGCTATCACACCACGGAAACCTTTGTGTCTAAGCTAGGTTCACTTGGGAACGAATTCACCTTACATGACAAAGATGTTGTTTTTATGTTTTGATTTTGCCGCATTAACCCGCGCCCCACTGGGGGGGGGGGGCTATTTATAGTCCCCCCTCCCGTTTTTCTGCAATAACTTCCAAACCGTTTGACGTATCGACGCCAAACTTTCAGTACCTTCGGCTGCATCAATTTGACACCGTGTGTCAAAATTTGAACTTCGTACCTACCATAGGTCGGCCGGAAATGACGTCAGAGTGACGTCATGTTCGGCCGATTTCGACGCAAAACATTGAACCACGGCAATCGCTCCCAAGAGCTCAGTTTTTAAGCTAGATCCAATTTCTTTGCATGAGAGGACTCAGAATAGACTGCGCTATCAAACTGCTATCTCGGATTTTCGAAATTCTGAAAATTTCGAAAATTTTATATAATAATATTCAAAATTTATATTTTTACATTTTTCTCAAAAACGTTTTGACTTTTCGAAAAAACCGGAATATATGTGATAGAACGCATTATTATGACTAACTCTAGCAAGTTTTAGCCAAATATCTTCAAAAATGACCAAGTTATACGCATTATTGCAAAAAATTAACAATTATTAATTTTTCAAATCAATTTTTCAGCACGAATTCGACGTCGTACGCCAATATAAATAGCACCATCGTGTTCCTGAGCTCAAACTGCATCCAATAGACACCTTTTTTGTTGAAAAATTTCAACTTCAAAATTTGACCTTTTTTGACCTGAAAGTGACCTGACCTAAGCTAAATTTGACTCAAAATGACCTCGAATGACACAGACGACATCAAATTCGAAATGTTTGGCCTAAATGGACCATAAAACATGTGTCACGTGACCGACGGATGACATAATATTTTCGTGACCTGTGATGACCTGACCTTGACCTGAAAATCAAAGTACAAGTTTGGTACCCTCAGAGTATCTAGAGCATCTATTCACGAGTGTGTGAACCAAAAATGAGCCTGATCTGACTTGTAAGACGGCGGCCAAAGCCCAAAACGTGAAGAAGCCAAAATGCTAATAATTTTTACTTTGACCTGACCTGTGACGTCATCGGTGACCTCGAGGTCAATGAAATTAGGTTTCGCTCGACAGTTTTTCCGGGGCTATCAGACGCCGTTTGAATTTTGACGATCGGCCCAGTAGTTTCGGAGTTAGGAGGGGGGGCTATGAATAGCCCCCCCCCCCCAGTAGGGCGTGTTATACGCAGACCCCAGTGGGGCGCGGGTTAACCAGAACAGTCGCTGTTGAGTAACGACGGTGAAAATGTTTCCCTCGATGAGAGGTTTTGGCATAATTTCGGGGGTTAAACGTTCAACGTGGCTCACTTATCCGTACCTTACCAGGGTGACGGGTGTCACTTTCTCGCTAATTCGAAAGATTTTCGTCTCATCCATCAGGTTAGCATTGATTCATTGTATCTGGTGCATTTATCAAAGCACAAAGTGCAATTATCGCACGAGGGTGGGGTTGCAGGTCAGGTCAGGGATGTAGCACGAGCATGCCTATTGTCTGGTTTGGACAGGTCGCGTGTCGTCTTGGTCTACACCGACTAAATAATGCCTAAAACATAGTGTGCTCTGAAAGTCGTAATAAGTTCTGCCCCTGACACTGCCGACGTTCAATATACCGTGGCCTACCTATTGAGTGACATTTAGTGCTGCATTGACCTTCGCTGAGACTTGAGTATCGACCCGACCTTTGTTGTGCCCCTGGTGCTGACTTAATCTGAGCCGTGGGTTGTCGGTACGGACTTGACCCTTGTTCCCCATGTCGGCCTGATGTGACCTTTGGTGGACCTCAAGTAGCAACTTGGCAACCTTTACGGCCTATTCTGAATTTCTGATCTAAACTTTTATCTCAGTTATGACACTGACCTTTCCTTGTCACCTCCGAGTACCATGCACCGCTCTCGGGTTTGTTTGGCCATTTAGCCGTACCTCAAGCCGTCTAATATAACAGCGGTCAGCCACGGCTGACGGCGGCGCGCCGCTTCCGGCCACCCGTCTGCCGGTACACGCATCTGATGCCAAAATTAGAACTCAGGAAGCCTCTCGAGTGAGGCGCAATGCGCCACTACGGCTCAGTTCGGGGGAACAAAGAAAACTCCCTTTGTGGCTTTGTTCGGATGAACGCGTCGTTCGCACGTGAGGGACCGTAAGGGGTCTGTAGGTCGCAGGGAGGGGTAATGAGTGCCAAATGCGCCGCTATGGCTGGTTTGATCGCTCCGCCGCTCCTGGCACTGCAGCGGCAGCGGTGTGGATTTTGGACCGGCCGCCCCGGCACATGGTGCATTCGATGCCGCCCCGACCGGCCCACGACGTCGATACGGCCAGAGGGGCATTTCGTTTACGGCTCCACGAATTGGACGGCCGAATGTCGGAGTGGATGTTGCACCATCCCGGTTAAAAACTGCGCACAGCATCTCTGCATCAGCGAGTGAGTTACGGTAGTGAACATTCATGTGTTTCACAAACCATGACAAGATCTCGGATTCTCGGTGACAAGCCATAATGGTGTCCATCTGCCATTCTTTCGGAACTTTGATTTGGGAACCTCTGATCGTTTCAGAGACTCAAGAGTCTGATCACCTCCCAGTCTATGGAACACCGTTTTCTCTCCCCGTCATTCTCGAGCTATGAGACAGCGTTCCGACGTCACCGCTCCAATCCAGACCGTCGTCTCCAGTCTCCGCCGGCTCCCACCGCCTTTGGCACGTGCCAATAGCAGCTCCACCGGGCACGGCGCCCGCCTGACCCGTCGGCGGCGGCGCGGCGGCGGTGGAGAGCGATCCTACACCCCATCCGCGACCCGCGGGGAGCCCCTCTGTATGGGAAGACTCCCACGCAGCGGTGAGGCAGACAGCTGCTACGGACTGGAAGGAGAGGCACGCTGCTCAGAGTCGACACTGGTGGCGCCGAGATCCCCCGCCGAGCGTCGGTGGCGGCGTGTCGACGGCGACGAGGGGAAGGAGGGGAAGGAAGGCACCTGTTGTCGGCTTCAGATGAGGGGCTGGAGGGGTGGCTGGAGGGGTGGAGGGAGAGTTTTTGCGCCGTGTTTCTCCCGAGGGGATTCTGCAGTCTGTGGAACTGACAGTGATTTTCTCTCGGGTCCTGCTGCTCGCTGTTCGTTCAGAGGCTAATTTGAATCCTAAAGAACGGCTTCTTTCACACTGACTTCTGACTAATAACGGCATCTAATCACAAGTGATCACCCCCATTCACCTATGACCGTAAGGGAGTCCTACTGAACCTTGGAACCTCTCTCGGCTTGATGAATCAGAACAACCAAAACTGAAACGTCACAATCTGGCAGCGACCAAACGAGTCACAAATCGCCCCAGGAATGCCGACTCACCGGGACATAACGCATGATACACTTGGCTCTGAAGGTCACACGGGATTTTAGAACAGCGGTTCATCCGAAAACGCGTCCTTGAAACGCCAGTGGCCCGGGCATCGGAGTCCGAATGCCACGTCATTCCTGCACAATTTAGATAAGTTTCAGGCAAACGTCTCGCACATGTGTGCATTGAGCACGTAGAAGACGTTCCCGTTTCGACCTTCATTTTCGCTTGTTCTTGTTAACGTAACACGGCATTGTCAAGATGATAGCTGTCGAGTCGGGCAGAATCATGTGCGGAGATCTTTATTGACCGTAAAGATTTGGCACAGCCTGCCTGTGCTATCTTATTTCGTCACCAACAGAAGACAACAGACTGTCGCCAGCCAAGATAAAAAATTATCGTGTTACCGTTTGAACCTGGAACCGAAAGCCGTGTAATAATTTATATTCTGTAGGAAAGGAAGAGCTCTTTTGGATTTCTCTTTCGTTTTTTTTTTTGCGCAGAAAAACTTTGCCTTGAAAAATTCCAAAACTTTCAATGCCAGATTTTGTTGGAACTTCAAACAAGCCTCAAATCAAATATCCATGGGAAAACGGATAATAAGCTCGATTGCCAGCAAGTTCAGCAACATCGCCATATCACACTCCCGCAGTCTCTCCTCCCTCCTCGCTAGGCCGTCTGGCCCCGGTCGGTCTCCACCGGAACACCGGCACCTCAGCTCGGCCGGCGACCCCGTCGGCCCGCGCCCGTCGACGGTAGTTGGCGACGGGCCAGCGACGGCCGTCGGCATCGGCCCCGTCGGGCCTCCCTCAGCAGACACCTCAGCCAGGCCGAACGGCAAGAGAGCGGGCAGGGCCAGAAAATAGTCACCCACAACAGCCGAGCGCAAAAGGTATATCACGGGATAGCAGTTAACAAAGCAAAATGGGTAGTAAGCCGGCGCCCGTTTCCGGATTTCTTTTTTCTCTGTCGTGCGATGCTCGGCGTCTGTTATTGCAGAGCGTAGATGTAGCATGCGTCTCTCACGCCGCGTGTGCGTCGCACCCATCTGGTGCCCGTGCTCACTCCACCACCCCCACCGCGTGGAGGGCCGGGCCGCGCCGCCGAAAACACCGCAGCGCATCCAGCTGCCTTCGCCGCGCCCGGCTATTTATAGGCGGCCGGGTGGCTGGAAGCGCCGGCCGGGAGCTCCTTTGGCGCGCGTCCCTGGCAAGCGGGCCGCCCCGCCGAGCCAGGAGCCGGCCGCGGCGTCTGCACGAGCGCCCCACGCAGCATCACGGTCACGAGCGTCAGCGAGCGTCACCATCTGACCCGCCA